AAGATGACTCAGAGAGTAAGAAAGCTTGCTGTACAAGCACAAAGACCTGAACTCTGATCTTCAGCTCTGATGTAAAAAGCTAGGTGTGGCTGCACCGGCCTGTGATCCTAACACTGTGGGAGCAGAGACACAGTTTTTGAGGTTTGCTGCCAGCCTAGCTCCAGGTTCAGTGAGAGACCTTGTAAGAAAGGAATAAGATATAGAATACTAAATGATGACACCAGTGTATTCTGACCTCTTTGTGTGTAGGAAAACACATGTATATCCCTACACAAGTGTGCACATACACCTTACAAAACTGTCTTTAGCATAAGACTGAATTTATTCAATGAATTGTTTCCTTCAACAGTTGTGGAAGACATCTGCCAAAGTAAAAGTCACAGGAAACTTTTGTGATGGTCTTTAAGCACATTTTAGTGATCATATTTTAGTATTTTAGAATTATGACACTCATCATAGATCACACCTGGCATTCTGTATTTTAAAATTGTTTCTTAGACTACAAGACCCTTAACATTTCTTTGCAAAGTCAGGGTTGGAGTGAAGGGGTGTCATCAAGACACATTGTACACCAGTATGAAGTTTCCAAAGAATCATTAAAAACAAAAATAAAAAGCTAACTGAAAAGCTTGTAATAAATACCAATCAATTAAATGGTATTATATTAGATCTTACAACACAAGTGAATTTCTTAAATAAAATGTAACTACTCGCCTGTAAATTCTATAAACACACAACCAAGCAGAGCTTTATTTATTGAGTATCAATAATACTTAGAGGTCAAACTAAATAAGAAACAGTGTGAAATCCAAAAGAAAATCTTGTCAGATAATTATACATGATCTATAAATGATAAAATTCACCTTTTCTATTAATTTCCTCTAACAAATCATTTGTCTTAACTACTGAATTTGCTTCAGACTTTACCTAGAAACAATACTGACGTTTAAGAAATCTATAATATCTATATATCCATCTATCCATATAGCTGCTATCTATTGTCTGTATTTCATGTATATATCATCTATGTATCTATCATCTAAATATCTGTGAATGTACCTATCTATAATCTATGTATCTGATCACCTGTATATGTACCTATGTATTTGTCATCCATGTGTCTGTATAGCCATGTGTTATTTATTTATAAATGTACCTAGTTATCTATTACTTACATATGGATGTATTTGTGTGTCTATCATCTGCATATTTGATGTTTATATATTTACATATGTCTATATCTCTGTAACTATGTTACTTGCTTATTTGTTATCCATTTTTTAATTGAAATGAACTAAACAGAATTTTGCTACTTTCTGATGGTGTGAAGTGTTTTCAGCAGCTATTAAATGTTTTGTTATGATATACACTTTGAGATAGTTGATGTTGCATTAGTGGAAGCTAATGTAGATATTTTAACCTTTTTAAGCCTGGATAGGCTGTCTTACAGTTAGGTTCGGCCATTCTGTTTTATAGATTAGTTATATTAATTGCATTTCTAGTATACATTATCCTCAATTAATGATGAATTTCCCAGCTATACCTCTGTGTGTACATCTAGGAGGATCTATGTATGTATGTGTTAAACTCTTACTTAAAGAAATACCTTGTAGCTATTTACTTATTGCTCTCCTGTATCATGTCTTCTGTTCGTTATAGAGATTAGCTTTGCTGTGTTACATTATCATAAAATATAACCACATCATAACTGCCATTGCTCTTTCATTTCCTCCATAAAGGAACTACAGATCGCTTTTTAAAAAACAAATAAAAATAAACAAAAAACCCAGCAGATCCACTTGTTAACCCAGAGGGTGAAATATGCATTTGTGTAAATTTTAGGGAACTCTGAAATCTATCACCATCAAAATCAGGGTGTGTTAACACGTTGTGGGAGAAACCAGAGAGATTAGTGATCATGGACTCAGATATACTAAGCTGAAAGAGGCACTCAGGTTGCAGAACAGGTGGCTTTCACAGTGACAACTGTGATGATCTGGAAACAGGAAGAAGAGAAGTTTTCTCGTGGCTTTCAAAATAAATCAAAGCCAGGATATTGAAATGAAAAGGAACAGCATAGAATAAGAGAATTTTTCATGAAAAAATGCTAGTGAAATTATCTAAAAATGAATAGAACATATTAAAGATCAGGCAGGTATGGAGATAGAAGACAGAAAGCTGCAATGGAGGGATTGAAAAAGGCATAGAAGAGCCGGGCGTTGGTGGCGCACGCCTTTAATCCCAGCACTCAGGAGGCAGAGGCAGGCGGATGTCTGTGAGTTCGAGGCCAGCCTGGTCTACAAAGCAAGTTCCAGGACAGTCTCCAAAACAATACAGAGAAACCCTGTCTCGAAAAACCAAAAAAAAAAAAAAAGAACCAAAAATAAAGAAAAAGGCATAGAAGAAAGAAAAAGAGAGTAGAGATAAGAATCTAAAGAAGAAAGAGAAAGAAGTGGGGTCAGCCAAGATGACTCAGAAGATAAACGAGCTTGCCAACAAACCTGATATTCTTTGTTCAATCCCAGGACACATATGGTGGAAGCAGAAATTTGATTCTCACAAGGTTGTTTATCCTCTGTCTTCCACCTGTACACCCAGGTATGTGCAAGCATTTACACACACACACACACACACACACACACACACACACACACTACAGACATATACGGTGACACATGAATTAAAGAAATACTTATAATAAAAATATTCAAAGAGTTGAAGCAGTGAAAGTTGGAAGAAAATTGAGAATGGGAGGAAATAAGAAATCGCGGGAAAGGAGAGAACTGCATGGAAAAAGAACAAGGGACTGAGGGTTTCTTCCAGAAGCTTAAAGCCCAGGTTTTCAGTCAGTCTTGAGCTCTTTATATATGTATATATATGAATACATTCATGAGTGAGTAAGTGCCAGTACATATGAGAGGGTTCATGCATACATACAAGTGCACATTTATGCGTACATAAAAGTTGTATACACATATTTGCTTGCATATGTGCTTACATGTGTCCATTGGTACAATGTGTGTTTATCTGTATCATATGGATGTGTATTCTAACACACACAGATATTTATATTTGATGGAAAAAGTTCATATAAAATTTTCCCAATTAGACTTTGTTATGAACAAACTCAAGACTGTTGTCTATTGATTTCAATTCAAACACAACAATTATATACTCCATTCTCTGCAATATATTCTATATACCACTCTCAAATGTATCTTTACACCCACGGGTAAGGGTAGGTTTTACATCTTATAAAGCTTCTGTTTGTCTAGATGGAGACCATTACAATAAATCACAACTGGTCAAAACACAGAAAAAACGTGACTGGGGTGAGGCATTGTCCAGGCTCAGTTGATACATAAAATATCCTGGGAATAGTTGCAGTATGAATCTAAGAGCCCGGGAACTGACTCCTGCTGCTACTGTATTTTAGGCTTAACAGGGAAACTGCACCCATACGATCTAACATTTTGACAGGAAAAAGATTTGAGCAATGACCACAGCTATTGACATCCAAAAATAAACACAAAATTTCATAAGATTCCAACTCCTAGATGAAGAGCTACAAGGAATCTATTGTTAATGAGAGGGGAGAATCAGTTGTCTCTATGGAGAAGCTTCCTGGAAGTTTATCCTATCAGAAGAGGTAATCTTTAAACACATGCTCATACAAACAGCACTACATGGGCCTAGTAGATTTTTGAATAATATTTGTGTAGGTGTATAGGTATATAAGTAACAAAAAGAAAAATTAGATCTATTTTTTTCTATCCAGCTTCCATTTGCCAGGTGAACAGCTGTGCTCCACCTCTGACCTTCAAGAAACTAGAGGCAAATTACTTAAGTCTCTGAACCCTCAATATTCTCTACAAATACTGCTGCTGTGAAAGCTAAATTAAATAATAAATTTTGGAAACATAATCTAATGTCTAGGGCACATAAAGTATAAAAAATAAAAATAGTTATTATGTATAGTGTATTATTACAATTTGACAACAGAGCACAGACATATGGTAAGCATAAAATATGCTATAATTGGTAATATTATCATAAAAACATAGATGTATTTCATGAATGTAAAACTAAGTATCAATTCATTTTCAACATCTCATTCAACAATAAAAATAAATCATTTTCATAAAAATCAGAAATAGGGCAAAGCACATAGTACATATGTAATTATATTTCAGTCAAGCACACAAATGATTTTATTTTAAAAGTTGACTAAAATTACATATTTCTTTTACAATAGTAAGACATCATAATAATCAGGGAAACATACAGGAGAGCTAATGAAAGGAAACTCAAAGCCAGGTACTTCATGTTATACATTTAAAATACTACGAATGTAAGAATAGATTTATCTATAAAGAAAAATGTCACCCTATCAAGAAAAAATCCATTAAAACTGATAGTTTTTATATCATGGCTAAATTTTTAGTAATTTAGCAGCAAGTCTACATAATAAACAGTGTTACTATAACTGGCCAATGCACAGAAAATAATCTGATAATTCTTCAAATCTATGCTTAGTGTTTGCTGAGCATAAATCCTAGACTGCTTACATAAATATGATGAAAAGGAATGTCTAAGACATCCTGATGTTATACTTAAAGTAATATTTCATGATTTTTATCAGATGTTCAAATCCTTAAGAGAAAATTAATGGGATTGACACTTATAAAAACCTGATGTTGGGTAAGCAAAATATAAAAGCATAATTTGTAACAGAGAATTTCTTTTATAAATTTAGGGAAATCTCCTTTTTGCCTTTATGTGATGATGTTACAAATTTACATGAAAAAAATGTAATTTCCAGCACAATAAGATGTGGCTGAAAATAAATGGTTACGTAGAACTTTCTTTTAAATAAATTTTATTTTATTATTTTAATTTTAAATAGCTTGCTTCACATGTCAATCCCAGTTCCCTCTCCTTCCCTTCCTCCCTCATTTCTCCACCATCCCCCCTAGTCTCCTACCCTATTGCCACTTCCTTCTATTCCTTATGTAAACACATGAAAACAAAATTCTCAGCTATTCCTGTCATTCTTGGTAAAGAACTAATTTGTAAAAATCTCTGATGATCCCTGTGGTTATGTGGTGAAATCCGTTAGCCCCCCAATTTTAGTACCCTAGTATCACAGTTATGGCCTGTATACTAACAGAGCTGGGAGTGTCACCTCCACCCAGTTATCTAATTCTTTCATAATTAAGAAGTGTTTCCTGCCAATGGTAGTTTTCTGGTTGGAGCATCATTCTCTTACTACTTATGAGTCTTGGGGTACATATGGATATGGTTCTTTTGTTGATGATTTCTCTCTTTGAATGTCTTTGAATGTCATAATTGTACCTTTACATTGAAAAGCTATATTGCACATAGTGTATGTTGATTGATAATAATCACCTCTAACCTGCTAAATGAATGAAGGATGAAATGTATCGTGCCTTTCTCAGCTTTTTGGTCAGAGATATATAATTTATATCCAGCATTGTTACTAGCTCCAAAATTTAACCCCAAAGCAATTCTTCCAAATATGGCTAAATGCTGCCTAAGAGGTAAGTAAAATAAAGAAACAGATGATCACATGCTTCCTAGTTAAATGTGTGATTCAGAAATTGCACAAATGTCTTAGTCTTCTCAATGACCAGACATTTGGTCACATGCCGAAAACTAGCCAAAGAAAATTCAAAGTATTTGCTCTATAATTACCCATGATATTTTGGTTTTCTTGGTCCAATGTGCATCTTATGCTCAAGCATTGAAAATAATTTTTTCTGTTTTTAAAATTCCAGATAGTAAATAATTTAGTCTTCACAAACATGATGATCTCCCTTTCTTAGTCTTGGGTTTGTAGCGCAAAAGTCATAGTGAATTCAAAAATAAATAAATAAATAAATAAACAAACATGATCCTGTTCAAATAAAATTTTATTTACAATTGAGGCAACTGTTTGGAGTTGTTGACTCTACTCTAGACTACAATGACTATTTTATTTCTTATGAATGTTGCATATCATTGGATATGCCATTTTTGTGCTAGAAATATTCACTTGCTTTAACTAAGTTGTAATTTTTTTATAAATACATAGTAATATTTATTGCCTAGACCAAATTCAGATAGTTTTCTATCTGAAAATTTTTCTAAACAGGTTTCATGCTAATTTCTCATTTGTGTTCTTTTTGTCATATTTAAGTTTTTGTTGTCTTCTTTAATTTTTTACATTTCTCATTTTCTCATGTATGCTCATCTGTAGCCCATGAATGATGATGTTCCTCTTCACCTGTAAGCAAACATGTGTGTTCAGCTATTCTGCTATTTGTTCTCTCATTCAAATCTGGAGCTCACCAGTTTGAGCTAGACATACTAGTTCTCTTGCTACAGAATCTCTTGTTTTTACCCTCTGAGGCAAGTGGGCTGCCAAGCCCATCAAACATTTATGCTGATATTGGTCCTGTTCATAATGTGTCAGTCATTTTAGCCATTAAGACATCTCCTCACCGCTGTCTGTATTCATCGTAGAAGTTTATCTTATATCACCAAGAATAGGATGTCTGCTGAAACTATAGAAGTATATGCTTTCCTCTTAAAGCATAAATTTCAACACAGCTGCATGCAATGTTAGAACCCAACCAAATGCCTTCCTTTCTTGTCTTTGTTGATATTGCACAACAAAATTGCATCTTAAAGAAGAAAAGGATAAAGCTCATTCCCCAATTAAAACTCATACAAATCAGAAATTGAGTATTTAGAGGTCTGTGATAAATCCTGTAAAGTACTGTTAAAAGTTAAAGTAACCCACTTCGTCACATAGATAAATAGGAGATATTTTTAATATGCTCCCAAGGTCAATAGGACAAAGAGAATAAAACCTTATGACAGCTATATGGCTAGGCCTCAGAATTTTATACGGGGAAAATCTTATTTAAATCTCATTTTAAATATGTCACTGGTGAAGTCTGATGTGTTTTAGACGAGACCCAGTACAACTAATTAAAATTGATTAGATTGCAATATTCTGTGGTGTAAGAAGAGAGAAGGGAATATCATAGCTGGCATTTCAAAAATACCATCCAGCTTTCAAGATATTAGCATGCCGGTGTTGAATATATTTATACAGTGGCCATTGAAAAGAAGATCAAATTGCCTCTTTATGTAAGAAATTGGATAAAGAACAGGAATCAAGTAAATCCAAAGTGTAATTTTCTCATGAACATGAATTGATAGGAAGTGTTCAGGTCAAATATAATGTGTGTCATTGTGCATCTGAGGTAGGAATCTGACATTTCTTTGGTCCCGTTCTAAAATTTAAAGTGGCATGCTTTTATTTTCCACTGGGACAGCTGTTAGAATTCTCAAATGAGAAGTAGCCCCAGCTGGCATGCTTTAAATGAAAATACACGTGGATAATAACCATAGACTATAGAGTCCTGCTGGCTAGCCAGGAATCAAATTAGGGGTAAGTAAAAGCTTTGTTTATATATCTTTTGCTTTTAAGCCTTTTAGAGAGTTGATTACATATAATTATCATGGAGATTCATGGATTAGGAACCCTGGGATACAGAATTGTATACTTAGCTTTAACAGACTTCTTGCAAATATCTGTGTGTGTGTGTGTGTGTGTGTGTGTGTGTGTGTGTGTGTGCGTGTGTGTCAGAGAGAGACAGAGAGAGAGACATACAGAGACAGACAGACAGACACACACACACACACAGAGATACAGAGACACACAAAAATATTTCTTCTCATGTGTGTGAGAAAAACCAACGGTTGTACTGATTTTTTTTCTGGAACTCTTCTATGGGGAACAAACTTTACATAAGAACAAAAGTGAGGTTTATAAACAAATCTATTTTGATTAACCTATCTTCAGAATTAAATTAATGGAACTTTGGGTTTTCAAATTGGGGCAGATTCTCAGAAGCACCGTAGTGGACTCGGGTCGTTGTGGAGTTCGTAGTCAATTATGATAAATTTGAAAATGGTGACCAAGGCAAGATAGCTGTGAATGCATATCCACACAGGATTCTAAACTTAAAACATTATAATGATTGTAGGTTGCTCTGAGGCCTTCCAGCTTCATGACCTGAGTTTCATTCCTGGAGTCCACGTTATAGAAAAAGAGCACTGACTTCCCCGAGTAGCCCTGTGACATCCACATGCATATCATGCCATACACATTGTCTTTCACACACAAAGAATAGATAAATGAAAAAGTGGCATAAAATTGGCTTTTAGAATTTGTTTACTTGTCTTCAGAGTTCTCACTGTGGGACTTCATGAATGGCAGTATTTTGTCAAATGGTTACACATTGCTTTAAAGGAATCCTACAGGATGTTGTTCACGCCATTAAATCCCTGAAACACTCCTGCCATGTCTGACTTAATGTTTAAACCAGCCTAATTAGTGAAGCTAAAATGAATTAGGAGATGATTAAGCATGAGGAAAAGTGATAGGAAAGGAATTCTGGGAAACATAATGGGACACCGCACTTGATGCATTCTCCCTGCCGCCATGGTTCAATGTCCATAGTACACTATAACAACAAGGACAAAAGATAAGGTTATTTAATTGTCCAAGGGCATGGAAAAACCATATCTGGACCCAGAACTACCCAGCTTCAAACATTAAGATTTTCATAAACACATATTGAATAAAATGAAATATATGTGTGTTAATCAAGCTTCTACTCTGGATAAAATACAGCAGCACTTAGACTTTATAAGAAACTATTTCAGTTGTTTTACAACAATTGTAATTTTCTCAGCAGCAAAAATCCCACTCATTTTCCCTATATACAGGCCTGGAGTCAAGGAGTGTTACACTTGGTGGGACATGTGCTCAATTTATCTACATTGTAATAAATGAGAAACCAGAGCTGGAAGCTCTTTGCTAGCATTGGCATTTGACAGATTTGGTTGTCCCCATGTGGTCTTTGCAGCAAAGGAAGGCTTGCAGGCATGCAGTTTCACAAGTTCACTAGGATATCAGCGAGTTCTCACATGTATTCTTGAGGTCCTCCAGCATTTTCTAACTTCAGACATCTGTACACTGAAACATTTTTGCAAAAACAGAATACCTCTTAAGTTGTATTGAACTTGGTGAACTTACTAAACTTCATTGTTTCTTCTTTGAAAATATGATGCATATTCAACACGCCTGACTAAATCTGAGAATCACAGAATCACAGAGATATAGGAATGATTGGAAACTAATAGTGAACCCTGATTCCCTAGACTTGATGCTGAATAAACTCCTCTTGCAGACTCTGGCTTTTTGTGCTGTTTCACTATGAAATGTCTTTCATTGTAAACCCTTGTATTGATAGTTCCAGCATACAGTAATCCATAGTTTCTCCTTTGTTTTTCTGTCTGTCCCACAGGAGATAATGAATGCCACTGGAAGAACACCTATGCTCTCTGACAGTTTGTACTCCTAATCATGTTCCTTTGAGTTTCTACAGTTTTTCACATGATAATATTTTTCAGGCTAACCATTTTCATATTTTACTCTGCTTGGCCTTTGCATCTATTCTTATATTTTTTATGTCAACACACTAACACTAAAGTCGAGGGCAATGGCTCTCAGTCTTCCTAATGCTATGCCACTTTAATAAAGTTCCTCATGTTGTGGTGATCACCAATCATAAAATTATTTTTGTTTCTACTTTATAAATGTTATTTTGCTAGTGTTATGAATCATAATGTAAATATCTTTGGTTTTGGATGTTTTAGATGACCCTTTTAAAACGGTCATTCATTCTCAAAGGGATCGTGATCCATAGATTGAGAATCACTGGTATAGGGGATGGATTGATAGCTCAAATAATGAGAGCTTGCTACTGTATCCTGAGGACTTCAGTTTAGATCCCAGTAGCGGCATGAGATGGTTCATAAGTGGCTACAAAACTAGCTCTAGGGCATCCAAGATACTCTAAAAGCACACTCACACAACACATATACTCATCAAAAAATTTGTACACATACAAGAAAACTAACAAGTCTTTAAAAATAATCTATATTTGGACCACCTAGCTGTCATAAACTATAAAAATTTTAATTGATTATTATTTTTACTAATGTTAAAAAGCAGCATTATGTGTATGATATCATACACATAGTATAGCAGATATGACCAATACATACTTTTAGAGTATATATTAATTTTCTCTTTCCCTCTTTTCAGGTCTCTATCTTCTCCACAAACACTACCCCCTTTGCTTTCATGTCACAGATATTCCATTAGAATCGGTCTTGAACTGAGCATTATGCATTCATTATAGAAAACCAAAAGGATACCTTTCACCTGCCCCACTTTAAGATCTCATGTTGGATTATGTTCTACTACCTGCTTCTCATTATATTTCTTACAAATTCTTACCCATGTCAAAAATATTACCATTTTATGCAAATTAATCTTAAATTAGTTAAATAAAATTTAAGCTTCAATTATTCTCCAGTAAATTTCATCTGCTTAACAATATGAAAATTGTCTTAGGCAATAAAATTATTTTAAAAATATTTCATTTTATAGCATGTATCTCATCTTTTTTTAAAGAAAGAAAATAATGGACTACAATTATAGAATTTGGCTACATTTTATCCTTAAATCCTATTTTTATGGTTTTTCAGTCAACTAACCAACTTCCACATCTACATAATTGTAAAATTACAGTATTTAATTCATAGGCTTAAGTCATATTTAAAAAATTAATTCTATTATTCTAATCCCATAAGACTTTCTATGACAAATATATGCATCCCATGGATCTCTGTTTCTATTTGTAATATTATTAAATAGATACTTGTGAGCCATTCATTTATTTTAATTGATACACAAAGAAAACCATTATTTGTTTTTACAAAGTTAAATCCATTTACTTTTAATACTCACCTGTATGAACTCATACAATTCAACTCTGCACTTAAGTTTACAAAGAGCAGTGTATCAACTATGAAACTCTACTATAAATTCCCACAGCATTTTCTGTTGGTGAGTGGTCAGGGCATATAGGGCCCCCAGGGAAAATTGATATCCACATACTTTGAAGCAGTCAGTCAGGAATTAAGATATCCATTCAAATGTTGGGTTATTAGCAATCACTTGAGGTAGCTAATGTTCATTCTCTCATTCTCTAGCTCAAGTTATTCCTCTATTTTCAAAAATATGTTTCTTTTTTTATAAAACAATTGTTCAGTATTCTCTAGGCAGTGAGTTCAACACATGATCAGAAAATTCCTATCGAGTTCCTCAATTCAACAAAGCATACATTCTGAAAAGAAAATGGATAGGAAATTCTGATAAGGCGTTATGTTCAATTTAACAGCTGCTTCCCTCCTATACATTAATGATTTTTCTAACTAAACCGAATGAGAAGGAAAATAGTTTATATAAACTTTTGAATAAGTAATTTTAAAATTATTTTAACATTTACTTAGATTTTTGTGCATCATCATTTTACAAACTGAACACCATGTAACTGAGGAAATGGGATATACAGCAACACAGCACTTAAGAAGTGTTCAAAACTATGTCAATATTTACAGTGCGAAATATTAAAAGGTGAATAAGTGTGTCAGTGTAGTAAGGATAATGGGTATTCACAAAGATCAGAGGAAGATTGTACAACCTTCTAAATGTAGTAGATGAGAATCAGTACTAAAGCTTGGAGTAGAAATGCAACTTCAGGTACAGTCATTTAAAAACTGTATTACTCAGAAAATACATATGAAACAATGGGTCATCTTAGTCTGATAAACTGGAACAGAGTTTTGGAGGAATGCTGAATAATGTGGAGTGGGAAGAGCTGTAGAATGTGGTAAGTACACCTTAGTGGGTTATTCTGTTAGGCCTTGATTCAGAAGACAAGGATGCCTACCAGAATCCATGAAGACAGTAAAGATTGTGTTCCTGAAGTTTCAGAGAAAAAGTATTTTATCTGAAAAAGGATTGGAAGCCATTCAATCTATATACTGGCAAACAATTTGGTTTTATTTTGTTCATTTGGGGCAGGGCCTAGACCCTATCCTATGTGTCTAGGCTGAGAGAGTATCCCTCTATGGGAAATGGGTTCCCATTGTTCAGTTTTACACTAGGTATAAATGCTGTTCCATTACCAGTGGCTGCATAGACTGCCCATGCCTCCAAACTGACATGCACATGCAGGGTGCCTGTTTGAAACCTATGCTGGTTTCCAAGTCTGAGGTCCATGAGCTCCCCATTGTTCAGGTCAGCTGTTTATGTGGGTATCTCCAGGATGGTATTGAACACTCTGTTCATCACTCCTCCCTCTCCACAACTGGATTCCAGGAATTTAGCTCAGTGCTTAGCTGTGGGTCTCTGTTTCTGTTTGCATCAACTACTGGATGAAGGCTCTATAATGACATATAAAGTAACCATCCATCTCATTATGGGGAAAGGCATTTAAGACAGCCTCTCCCCTATTGCTTAGATTCTTGGTTGGGATCATTCTTGTATAATTCTGGACATTTCCCTAGTGCCAGGTTTCTCTTTAAACCTATAATGGTTCCGTCTATTAAGGTACCTCTTTTCTTGCTCTCCTCTATTTTTCCCCTGACTCAATCTTCCTGGCCCCTCATGTCTTCCTCCCACCCTCCTCGTCTCCCCTTCTCTTTCTCCTAACTTGCTCTCCCACCCCTGCCATGCTCCCAATTTTCTCAGTAGATCTGAGGCAAGGAGGTCTTATGTATAGCTTTTCTCTATTTCAGTGGGTAAGGACTATCACTGCAGAATAGTAAAGCTTACTAACTTGGCAGAAATTGGATGGAAGTTGATTATTTCAGAATGTTTTCACATCCAGATTCAATGTCAGAACTCACCAAGCAAACAGTGCATAGTATGATCCACTCTCTGCCAATGATTAATCAGAAGATTTTCTTCACGCTTCATTATTTACCTTCTCCTCAAGTTCTATGCTCTTGTGCTGGGAAGTGCCTTCACAGTGCATAGAGAAATAAAATATTAGTTTTCATTTGCTGCTAAGGAAGGTTCTCAAGGAAAATCATAAATAACTGACAGGAATTATCTCTTCCTGAATCTCAAAATTCCCTGTGCTCCAGGAATTTCTTTTAAATCCCCCCCAGACACTTGCCTGCACTGACTGAAATCATTGCCATAGGGAGATACAATATTATAAGCAGGTTTTTACTGTTTTGGTAAATCTCTAGAATTACAATTACTTTGGATCTGAGACACGTAACCAAGAATGAGGGAATTTAGTTTGCAATTAAAAATAGACATAAAATAAAGATAAAATAGATTACAGGTATCATTTATGTTAAATTTTATGGACTATGAGATAAATTCACATCACATTTCTATTGGTCTGTTTGCTATGATTCTGATTTACAAATATCCTGTTATGTTTCCCTACTCATAGTGTAAACAATGATCATTAGTTTTAATTGTCAACTGGCCAAATCTAGAATAACATGGGAGGAGAGATTTAATGAGGAGTCACTGAGATCTGGTTGGCCTACAGGCATGTCTGTTGGGGAGTGTCTTGAGTGTTAATTGATATATGATGATGCAACTTATTGTGGGTGGCACAGCTTTATAGATGGGGCTTCACATGGAAAAGAAAGGAGAAATCTGATGGCAGGCACCTGGATGGGACACGTGTGTTCTCTCTATTCTTGATGTGGGTTTGCTGTGACTTGCTTCATGGGTCTTCTTCTCCCCACTGATGGGTTATAATCTAGAATTCTTCATGTAATAAATCCTTTCTTCCTCTATGTGTTTTGGTCATGGAATTTTATCACTGTTACAGAAATGACACTAGAACCTATACAACATGAAGTACTTAATAGCTTTTAGGAAAAACTATATTGAAAATCAATTAGGTAATATGAACTGACCTCATATAAATCTGCCAACTGCCATCAGTTCAATTGTCTTCCCACTTCTCAAAACTTCCTGTGAACTTTAAAATATTGCTTGTTTTGTTGTTTTTGGTGACAAGGTTTCACTGTCCAGTCCTGGCTGTTCTGGTATTCTGTATGTAAGCCAGACTACCCCCAAACTCACAGAGATCAATTTTCCTCTGCCTCCTGAGTGTTGAGTTAAAAAAAATTGCACCACTACACTGGGTTTGTTGCTTGCTTTAATGACATCATAATCTACAGTGTTCCCTCCTGAAAATATTTAAATAGCGCATGTTCTTACCAAGTGCTTAAATGCAAATATAGTTTTAAATGCTATATTAGAATTCAAATAGGTAGAGAAATACCCCCAAAATAGTTATGGACAAGAACAAAGGCCCAAACATTACAAAATAAGGAGGATCAATTAGAATATGAACTGAAAGTATAACTCCATAGCTGATGTCTCCTCACACAGCTGACCCTGAGCAGCACCATCAGTCCAGGAAGAAGTCCTGATGATCTGAGAGCCAAACTGTTTAATAGCCACTTGCAACCTTATTTCCTTTTTTGTAAAACCATCTAATTTCCATTTTTTTGAGGTTGTGCTGTGTTAGTATGTTTAATTTTTTATTTTATTTTCCAGTTTAAATTTAGATAAGAAACGAGGTTGCTTCACAAGTCAGTTCCAGGTCCCTCTCCCATTCCTCCCCTCCTCCCGTGCCCTCCCCCCAACACCCCCCCGTTATCCCCTCATTCCCCCAGGGAGTGTGAGGCCCTCCATGGGGGTGTCCATAGTCTGTCATTTCATATAGGGCAGGGCCTAGACCCTTCCCCGAGAGTTCAGGGTGAGAATGCACCTCACATTGTTCTATGGGAGTCCAAAGTCCCTGTGTATACTTGGGATGGGTACTGATCTGCTGCCCAAGGCTCAATAGATTCCCTAGGCCTCCTCACTGACACCCAGGTTCAGGGCGTCTTGATCAGTCCCGTGCTGGATTCCCAGGCTGATGCCTGGGATTCAAGAGTTAACCTTTGTCTGGTCAGCTGTTTCTGGGGGTTAAACCAGCCCAGTCTTAATCCCTTTGATCATCAGTCCTCCCTCTCTGTTACTGGCTTTCTTGAGTTCAGCTCAGTACTTAACCAAGGGAATCTGCCTCTTCTTCGATCAGCCACTAAATGAAGTTTCTGTTTCCCAGACTCTCTGGCCATAGGATTGTAGGCTGGCACTCCCCAGATCTATGTCTAAAGTCCATATATGAGAGAGCACATGCCATGTTTCTCTTTTTGTGACTGGGTTACCTCACTCAGGAGGGTTTCTTCTAGTGTCATCCATTTGCCTGCGAATCTCATGATTCCATTATTTTTTTCTGCTGAATAGTACTCCATTGTGTAGATGTACCACATTTTCTCTATCCACTCTTCGGGTGAGGGACATCTAGGTTGCTTCCAAGTTCTGGCTATTACAAATAAAGCTGCTATGAACATAGTGGAACAGACATCTTTGTTGTATGAATGGGCATCTTTTGGATATATGCCTAAGAGTGGAGTTGTGGGTCTTGTGGTAGGTTTATTCCCATTTTTCTGAGGAATCTACATACTGATTTCCAAAGTGGCTGAACCAGTTGGCACTCCCACCAGCAATGGAGGAGTGTCCCCCTTTCACCACATCCTCTCCAGCATAAATTGTCATTGGTGTTTTTGATTTTAGCCATTCTGACAGGAGTGAGATGGTATCTCAGAGTTGTTTTGATTTGCATTTCCCGGATGGCTAAGGATGTTGAGCACTTTCTCAAGTGCCTCTCAGCCATTTTAGACTCCTCTATTGAAAACTCTCTATTTAGTTCTGCAGCCCACTTTCTAATAGGGTCCTTTGGTGTTTTGGAGACTTGCTTCTTGAGTTCTTTGTAAATTTTGGAGATCAACCCTCTGTCAGATGTGGGATTAGTGAATATTTTTTCCCATTCTGTAGGCTGCCTTTTTGTTTTGCTGACTGTGTCCTTTGCCTTACAGAAGCTTCTCAGTTTCAGTAGGTCCCATTTATTAATTGTTGATCTCACTGTCTGTGCTACTGGTTTTATGTTCAGGAAGCTGTCTCCTGTACCAATTCGTTCAAGGGTACCACCCACTTTCTCTTCTAAGAGGTTCAGTGTGGCTGGATTTATGTTGAGGTCTTTGATCCATTTGGACTTAAGTTTTGTGCATGGCGATAAACATGGATCGATCTGCATTCTTCTACATGGTGGCTAATTTCCATTTTTATATCATGAAGTTTTAATAAACAACAGCAACCTATCTTAGTGTGTGACTTTGTCTTTTCTTTTGTTGTTGGTGATTATTTTCCTTATGTTGTGGGTGATGATTCATGCTGGTAGTTTTAATACTGGAAAGGATGTGTAGCTTATTCTATCGGAATTATTCACAGATTTCACTGTGATACTGCTTTATCAGATAGTATTTTGTTTTAAGAGGCAACATTGCAGAAGACTGATGAGTATACTATAGAGGGAAAGCTTGTAAACAATTAAAAGTTAAAGAACATTGTTCAAATATTTGTCCTGTTGTCTCCCATTCTGATCAAATCATAGTCAGAAAACAATGTATGCTCTTATTTGAAAATTGCTCTCATTAATTTTCCATCTTTCAGTTTCATGTTTATTTTATATTTTGAGATTATAATGTAACTACTTTATTTATCCCTTCCCTTTCCTTACTCTGAGTTCTCCCATATATATCTTCTTCTTCTTTTAAATCACATGCTCTTTTGTCTTTCAATGACTCATTGTATTTGTTAAATATACCTAGTTTGTTTTGTGTTGCTGTTATTTTTTATCACAGAGTTAGATTCCACTCTCAATCATTCACTTCCAGGACACCTGTTAGCAACATGACACGATGTAGGTCTGCCCCTTGGGCATGTAGTTCATGTGCAAGTTGTCAGTTTTTCTACGGGGAAGCTATCATGTGTGTGTGGTTTATTGAAAGTATTACTGCTTTATGCTTCTCAATTGACCCTGTTCATGTAGAAATCTTCCTGACTCAGCATGGCATGTCATAGTACCATAAGTACATTCTATCAATTATCAGCTATTCTAATAGTAATATAGTATGCTATTGCCTAAATGTTATCTTATGTTGGAAGTGTTTAGTATGCATATTTCTGTCTCTTTCTTTTCTATTTTGAGATGTTACTTCATCCCTTTGGGTCATTTAAAAAGTAAATTAATTCTTTTTGTTGGGTTGTGAAAACCTTTAAATAATTTCAGTACAAATCCTTAACAATACAGATGTTCTATAATACATTAGCTGAACTGAAATCTTGTTTTAGCATGATGTCACACATGTTTTTCACATGGAAGGAGTTTTAAATGTAATGCTTCCTGACAATGTTGTTGGGAAATTTGTTTATTTGATGTTGATATACAGATCTCATTTCTATGGCATTCTACACTCTCCTTTTTGAAGATGATATATCTGACCACATTTCTTTCTGTAGCAGAACCCTATGAACAGGGAGGACCTGTCTTTCCAATATCACTGCCGTGGCTTCTCCCTTTACTTGTTTCTATATTAAATGTGTTTTCCTGTATCTCATGAATCTTTCAGTCTTCTCCAATGTTCTCAATTTATCTAAATATCCAGTCACTTCCTCTACAAATGTATTCTGTGAAATGGGTCTGTTAAACCCAATGCAATAAGGAAACACTCTCTCCAAGTGTAGAAGCATTCTTCCCAGATATTAAGATCATTGCTGTTAAAACTGCTCAACTCTGTCCCTTCCCAAGTGTTTCTTATAGTTAAAGAAAATGTTCTTCTTCTGTGTATATATTCCATAACCAGGAACATGGCTGAATCCAATACTCCTCTTGTCCCCATTTGAGACAAGTCATAGGAATGACTAAGGTCTCTGCAGTTGCTTCATCATATTTGAACTTGACCTTTCGCCCAAGTCTACATCCTCATTGCCTTGCATATATAATCATCCCCCCAAATATTTCTATACCTTGTCTATGGATCATGTACATCATGTGAAATAGTATCTTAGAGTATTTCCTTTGGAATATAATGGTGTATATATAGCTTTGAAAAGTACAAAACCACATGAAACAGTCAATTGCAGTGACAAACTGCTCCTGGTTACAGGAAAATCAAAAAACAAACAGTAAAGTATATTGGCTTGTTTGTTTTAGAAGCACCAGAACTTTACCCCTGGCTCTTGCTAGGTTAGGATTTACATTTTAGTAAGATTAGATATTTAGTCAGGTGTGGTGGCACAATTCTGTAATCCAAGCACTCAGTAGGCAGAGGTGGGGAGGAGGAGATCAAGTTCAGTATTGATTATATGCTAAGCCTGAAGCTAGCATGAGCTACATGACAATTTATCTCAAAAACTGGAAAAACATTACAACTAAAATATATATATAAACAAAGCAAAGCAAATCCCATATAAAATCTATTCATAATTGTAATAATAACTAACAGTAAAAGTTATAATATAGTGACATTTTAATTAGTTAGGATAGCTCAACTTTATTTAATTTATTTTCTCTGTGGTCCAAGCTGGCCTCAAAATCAGAAATCCACTGACCTCTGCCCTCCAAGTGCTGGGATTAAAGGCATGTGCCACCACCACACTGTTGGGGAAGTCCTGTGTATATGTTAATAAATTACTGCTGGCCAATAGGAATCTAGATAGGTGGGGCTAGGAGTCCAGGAGGATTCTGGGAAGGAGAAACACAGAGAGTCGAGATGTAACGCCATTGGGGTAGGAAGCCCGGAAACCTCTCCGGTAAGAGACATACTTAGATTAACAATTATGGGGTAATTACTTAAGTCAGAGCTAGCTAGTAAGAAACAAACAAGGCCAACAGCTTCATAATTAATATGGCCTCCCGTGTGTTTATTTGGGACTGATGCGGATCTAGAACCACGCTGGCGGAAAGGCTTCTCTCAAAGAAAAAGCTTCCCTTAACACCACACAGCTAAATATATTTTAATAAGACTGGAGAGATGGATCAGTAGGTAAAGATTTGCTGCTCTTCCAGGAGCCTTGGGTTCAGTTTACAGGATTCACTGAAGTTCTATGAGATACAGTGCTGTCTTCTAGTCTCTAATGTCACTGTACCTACATGCACATACCAACAAATACACACACACACACACACACACACACACACAGACACAGGCAAGCACATACACTCTATACAAAATGAAAGACAAAATCTTTAGAAATGAGATTTAGCTCTCTGCAGTTATTTATAAAATTCAGAATATCAAAAATTAAATACTAACTCAATAATAACAAAGGAATTTACCATCCTGAGTATAGCTCTTAGGCATCTTTTAATCTCATCGGTCTCACATTTTGTGTATGCCAATAATATTTGCATTATTAGATGAGTGGGATATATAATATTTTACAATTAACCCATCAGTAGGTCACCATATCTCTATTGGTTCATTTAGGGACTTCTAGCTTACTTTGTGGTAGGGCTCATCTGTGGAATAAATTTGCAATTGGAGATAGGAGTATTTCAGAAGGATTTTATCCTTTTCCATGAATGCTCCATTCTCTGGCACAGGTATGATGGAGTGACAAGTTACAGAGGAGCAACTGAGCACTCCTTTCTGCATATTAGTTACCTGCTCTCTAACCCTAGTAATGGCTCCTACCTCTTGAATCCCCTTCTCCAATTTGTTACAAGAGCCATTAGCTTTACCCTCTCCTTCTAGAAACCTGAATTACACTAGGGACCTCAACGAAAACTTAAGATTATCCCTTTAAAAGTCTGTTTAGAGGCTATCATGGACACAGAGTAGCAAGCATTACTATGTAGCTCCTCATTACTTCTCCATCTCTACCTCTCACACATTGTTTTATAATGCAATCCCCTTGCTTTTGAAATATTGAAAATGAAACAACCTATTATTAACTTGCTTGCTTTGTTTTTTATCATAAAATTCATGTTTTATAGTGGGCATTAATGACATGTTTATCATAGCAACATTTGTTTTCTTTCTTCCTCTGATTACATATTTGTGCAACCTCCCATCCTCTTCCTGCTGCCACATTATTTTCTATGAAAGTAAATGTATGTTTTTAATTTGATTTTGCCTTCTAAGGTCCTGTTTTTATTCTCCTGTCCCTACTGAAGTGAGTGGAATGCTGCACTAATTCTCAGCAGCTAGTTTTTCTACCTCTAACAAGTGCCTCTGCCAGGTCAAGAACTAAGGAAAAATAACGTTCTTAAGAATTTACTACAATCAAATACAATCAAGATTATTATCAATTGTGAACATGATTGAAATTAATGCAGATAAATTATAGGGAATTTCTCCACCATTTTAGATGTAGATGATAAAATGAAGGAGAGCTTGGATCCTGAGAGCTGCTTTGATACTTCAAGTGACCATACAGAAATATAAATACCTTCTATCCCCTTTGTTTCAAAAGACGGTCTCTTTGTTACAGCCATACATGAGAGATTCAAAATGAAATATTCATATAAAAGATAACTAACAAACCAAAACTACCATTTGTAGTAGTCTAATGTTTAATAAAATAACTATACAAAATATTCAATATAATATTTGCATTAAGAACTGTCATTCATTATAAAATATCTATGTCCTTGGCATGATGTTCCAAATGATGCTGTAACGATAAGCGACACACTTACTGAAAGTAAAACTAAGTATTTATTGTAGAAATTACTCACAAGATACCAAACAAGTAATCCAGATGAGCCAAGTAGTTTTCCGCTGCCAAAACCGGAAGCCAAACTCCGGGAAAAGAGACCGAGACTTCCTGTGTGCTCTTTTATGCCTTCCCCCGTAACGCCCCCTAGCCAGGCCCACTTTTGGCTAGTGACGTAGTTCACCACCTACGTACATATACGTCTTTACGTCCGGCCATATACGTCTTTAGTCATGCCTAAAGTGGGTGTGGTTAGCGGTGTGGTAAACCGCCCTTTTATTACCTCATCTGTATGCGCCTCTACTAAGTCACATGGTTAATGGCGGCATCAGACTTCCTCCTACAATTCCCCTTTTAGTCTAAAAAGGACAACTAACTTGTGTCCATGAACAAAATGTATCAAACATCTATTCTGTCTAAACATAAACTTATCTGAAAGAAACACCCAAATATGAACACCTCCTTCCAATCCCAACTCTAAAATAATTGAAAACTAACACTAACAGGTGTAAACTATCTTATAATATCAATAGTAGGGAGAGGGGGCGTGGAATTCTCAAAACTACTTCCTGCTGAGATGGGACGATGATAATCTCATGGGGACCTGTGAGAAGAAAAATGTTAGTATAACAAAATCTCAGTAGATCAGACAGTCTCTGTATGGCAGGAGATGCTTGATTGAAGTTCCTCACTGGGGTTCTAATGTTGATTGAAGCTCTCATCTGAAGCTCTGGCCAGATTGTAGAAGATGTGCTGTTTCAGTTTCTTGGTCCGGAGTTGTGTAGAGTGATGTAGTTTCAAGCCAGTTTCAGGATAGTGCTTGTCAGGTGGAGTCAATGATGTGGGGCAGTTCAGATGCCTCCAGTCGAATCAGGTGAAGTCAAGGAAGTGGATCCTCATTTTCTTTCTGAAGCAGTTGAATATTGCTGTCAGGAAATCCCTTGTTCTCTGGAAAACTCAAACATTAATGTTAACAAAGAAATATTTTAACTCTTATATGTATGCATCCTGGAAGAGGTGACAATAGGGAAGATGGTAAACCTGAAGGAAATTAGACTTTACAGAAAAAGAAATACACAGATAACAGTCCCTAATTTTATTTTCTTCTGTCTTATATCAATGGCTCTTTGATATAATACAGAAATTCTGAATTGTATTTAAATAATATGTTTGAGTTTAGAATAGGAGAGCCAATCCAACTCCAAAGCCAGGTTCAGCTAAATGAATGGGGACTGAGGTATGTGAAGAAATAAAGATAAAAGGGTACTATGAAAAAACAATATAGAGAGATTTAGACTTTGATACCACACAGTGAGTTACTGTTTGTTTGATGGTAGAAGCTATTCAGTCTTCTACAGGAATCCATATGTCCAGTATTCTTTGCTGAGTTTACCTGTGAAAACAAAAAACAAAAAACTTCTCTTTCCTTTTAGGAGGTCACTTTACCCATGGTGGAATATGAATTTGTTGATGGGCTGTTATCTTCCTCCTCCTAAGATATTTTCTGTTCTGATCGAATTCCAATTAATTTTGATGGAACCCAAACCTTTTCTTCTCCTGTGGAAACAAAAGCATAACCCCTTCCCCAACATAACACATATCCTGATTTCCAGACTGAGGTCATAACATCCTTAAAATATACTGGTTGGTTCAGTTCAGAAGTCTTCTCTGTAGTCCAGTGTCTTTCTGCTGCAGTTTGTCCTTTTTCATTAGCATTAACAAAATTCAACGTTAGTAAAGCATTGTGTAAACTGTGTTTAGGTGTCTTTGTTTTCCCTGGCTGTTTATGAAGCATCTCTTTTAAGGTTTGGTTAGATCTTTCAATTACTGCTTGTCCTGTGGGATTGTAAGGTATACCAGTTACATGTTTTATATTATAATATTTGAAAAATTGTTCCAATTTACTAGAGGCATATGCTGGAGAATTGTCATGTTTTATTGTTTTAGGTATACCCATAACAGCCATCACCCCTAAGAGGTGTGCAATAACAGAATCAGCTTTTTCAGAGCTGAGGGCAGTAGCCCATTGGAAGCCTGAGAACGTGTCTATGGTATGGTGTACATATTTCAAACTGCCAAATTCTGGGAAGTGAAATACATCCATTTGCAAAAGTTCATTTCTGTGATTACCTTTAGGATTACAACCTGCTGGTAATGGAGTTTGATTGTAGAATGAGCAACTGGGACAATTTCTTACTATTTCTTTGGCTTCCTGCCAGGTGATAGAAAAATCCTTCTTTAAACCTTTGCTGTTAACATGGTGTTTCTTATGAAATTCTGAAGCTTCCAACACATTACCTACTAATAAACGATCAATTTCATCATTGCCTTTTGCCAGAGGACCTGGCAGACCTGTATGGGATCTAATGTGTGTTATATATATAGGATGAGTCCTGTTTCTGATGATTTCCTGCAATTGTAAAAACAATGAGGTTAATTCTATATTATCAAGAACAAATTCTGCAGTCTCAATGTGCAAGACAACTCTTTCTGCATACTGAGAATCCATGACTATATTGAGAGGCTCTGTAAAGTCTTTAAGTACCATGAGAATGGCCTATAACTCTGCCTTTTGTACGGAGTTGTAAGGGCTTTGAACTACTTTACTTATATTTCCTGATTTATACCCTGCCTTACCTGATTTGTTTGCATCTGTGTAGAAGCTAAGAACTCAAGAAATAGGTGTTTGCCTCATGATACGTGGAAGAATCCAAATTGTTTTCTTTATGAATTTGATTCTCTCTGTTTTGGGATAGTTATTACTAATACTTCCCAAAAAGTCACTGCAAGCTATTTGCCAATTTCCTCATTCATTAAAGGTACAATAATTTCCACTGGGTCTTTTCCAGTCAGTTGACAAAGCCTTAACTTACCTTTTAATACCAAATCGGAGATATTTTCTATATACTTTTTCAATTTTTTATTCTGTTTATGTGGCAGAAATACCCATTCTAGAATGATGTCATCCCTCTGCATTAATATTCCTGAGGGGTATTCTCTAGATGGTAAAATAATCAGAATACAATCCAGATTTGGATCCACACGGTCCACATGTGCTTCTAATATTCTCTTTTCTACCCATTCTAATTCTTTTTCAGCCTCAGCTGATAGTACTCGTGAGCTGTTTAGGTCTTTATCTCCTTTTAACGCCATTTTCAGGTGTTTTAAATCATGCCCTTCTACACCAATAATTATCTGTAATTGAGAGATTTCTCCTAATAGTTTTTGAAGATCATTAAGAGTCCGGTAACGATCTCTTCTGATCTGTACTTTCTGAGGTCTAATTTTCTGATCATCTATTTTATAACCTAAATAGTTAATAGAATCTTCTCTTTGTATTTTTTCTGGGGCAATTTGTAATCCCCAGCAAGGCAAAGTTTACTTTACTGCTTCAAACATCTTTTCCAAGGTATCCTTATTTGAATCAGACAATAATATGTCATCCATATAATGATATATTAACGAATGTGGAAATTTTTATGAATTATTTCTAGAGGTTTATTCCCAAAATATTGACACAAAGTTGGACTGTTTAACATACCTTGTGGTAGTACCTTCCACTGGAATCTCTGTACTGGACGGGAATTATTATAGGTAGGTACCGTGAAGGCTAACTTTTCTCTGTCGTTTTCTTGTAATGGTATGGTAAAGAAGCAATCTTTTAAGTCTATAACTATAATTGGCCAATCCTTAGGAATTAGAGAAGGTAACGGCATCCCAGCTTGTAGAGACCACATAGGCTGAATTACCTTGTTGATGGCTCTAAGATCAGTAACCATTCTCCACTTACCAGACTTCTTCTTGACAACAAAAACAGGTGAATTCCATGCACTAGTTGATTCCTCAATATGTCCAGCATCTAGCTGTTCCTGAACTAACTTCTCCAAAGCCTCTAACTTCTCAGATGTCATAGGCCATTGACCCACCCAGGCGGGTTCATCTGTCAGCCATTTTAAGGGTAGAGCTTTTGGTTGCTCTGTAGGTTTGGCACTAGCATCTTGCTTCTGTACAGCCTGTACATTTGGCATCTGTTTATGTACTGTCTTACTATATTCTTTCTACCACTAAGAACTTGTCTATAATTCCTAGCTGATACAGGAGGTATGTTAATCTGCATATTCCATTGCTGGAGTAGATCACGACCCCAGAGGTTTACAGCAATATCTGCAACATATGGCTTTAACCTTCCTCTCTGTCCTTCTGGCCCAATAAAGTCAATCCATCTGACACTCTGGTTAACTTCAGATAGGGTTCCAATCCCTAAGAATTGAACATTAACCTCTTTTAAAGCCCAATTGGGGGGCCAGGACTTCTGATTAATGATAGTGATGTTACTTCCGGTGTCTAAAATGCCATTAATCACCCTATTATTTACCCTAACTGATAGCTTGGGTCTATGATATTGTATAGAAGTTTGCCAAAATACATGTTTTGTATCTCCTCCTGATGTAATTGATTCATCCTCTGGAGCTAATATATTATCCAATGACGTATTATTTACAATGGGCAGGGGATCTTCTAATTGTCCTGGGAGAGGCTGTCCTCTAATGTCACTGGGAATGACCGGATAATCTTTCTTTTTGGGGCTCGATTGAGCCCATGATCCCCGTTTCCCGGCTTTAAAAATCTACCTTGTCTATCTCTTGTGGACCAGCATTCATCAGTCCAATGTTTCTCCTTCCCACACCTCCTGCAGAGACCAGGAGGCTGAGGCCTTCTGTTTGATGCATTCCTGGTAAAAGCATTATTTCTAGGAATGCGTTGTCTACAGTTCCTACTAAGATGTCCTATTCTACCACAGTTAAAGCATGTTGCATCTTTATGCCTATTAAAAATTGGAGATTGCCTTCCATACCCAGGCCTCTATATCATCACAGGTAGGGTATTTGGCATCCTGGTACCTCCTCAAGCCTGTAGAAATAGCTTCACCTACCCAAGCTCTTGTATCCTGACTTTTACATTCCAGGTTTGCTGTATGTAGGACCCATTCCTCCAATGGCGCTGATCTTATTTTTAATGGCCAAATTACCTGCCTGCATTGAGGATTCGCGTTCTCATACGC